ATAAATTTATATATAAAATTAGGTGAGTCAACTCATTTGATTTATAAGTAACAGCACTTAGGTAGGATATGTCCTATAACTGTTAATATAGCAAATTAAATAATTCGTTCTGGATGATATAATACGTAGTCACATACGAAAAACTAGCTGCGTGTTATATCACGTGTCTCATGTAACAAACGAACTAGTTCCACTGGTTCAATATGAATCATAACGGTCTGAGATTTGAACTCAGTCGAACCAGTTTCAGCCAAATGATTTAACATCCCTGCATTTATGCTTAAATAAAGTTTTTAAGGATCATAATTGCATGTAGTTTAAAATTTACTTACGCATATACGTTTATACAAAAAATTTAAAAATTTTTCACGTAAACGTAAAATGCGGAAGTGAATTAACAAAAAAGTTATTCAATTTACATAAAAATTTCGATACAATGTTATTTATTATCCCAACAACTTAAGACATAAATATCAATTGACTTAGTAAAATTTCGATTTATATGTATAGCTATGATTATTAATTATATTTTTATAAAATATAATTTTGTTTGGCGATCATTTAAAAGTGCTAGAATACTAACATCTGCTAAATAACCTCCTAAGGTTATTTGGACCTTTTGTTGGCTAATGACTAGTAATTTGTATTTGAGTCATTTGGGTCATTTCAGGTTATTTACTATTCCCGTTTTTTAGACCAGAACTTCTGTGCCTAAAGGTAGAGACATACTACGGATATTAGTGACAAGCATGAGCATATGCAAAATCTTATCTTGGCTTTAAAATTTACATAATTATATAATTACTTAACAGCTTTAAATTGTTAAATTTTAATAACAACTTTTGCTAAGACCTGTTCTACATACATGTCAAATATAATTTCACAATACTGCAAAAAAGTTTAATCATTTCAAATTTTATTATTCGTTCATTCTTATAGTAAGTTTGTTTTCTGAAGTGTCTTATTTAGCATAAAGATATCATGTTCTTTTGTAACTATTTTGCCATCTTCTGCTCCATCTGGCCATTGAATTTCTTCACGATTCATGAAATGAGAATAACTCGCAGAACCAACCTTCCCTGACCATTCAAAATCAATCAATTTTACATCAAACTCATTTTCTTTAAGTCTACTAACTAAGATGTTTCCTTCATGCAAATCTCCATACACATGCCCCAAGTTGTGCAAATACTTGACCACATTTTCGATCTTCTCTTTTAAATTACTTCATTCTTGATCAGCAAGAATGACACAATGTAACATTAAATGGTTGTCCAGGCATTCCATATATATTAAACGCCAATTTCCAGGTACAATTGAGCTAGCAAGGATTTTTGGTGCGTATCCAGCATCTGCTAAAAATTGATGTGTATCAAGTGAATATTGATGCCCTCGAACAGCCTTCATGTAGGCTTTCTTATGTGATACTAGTTTGTCCGAAAGAATAACTTCCCAAAGAAGATAAGCACCAACTTGAGAAATAACCTGAGAGCTATAAGATTTATCACCTATAATTACATCAGGAAATGATGGATACACTGGGTGGTCAGTTTGAGGGACTTCTTGAACTTGCTTATCAACTTGATCGTAGTATTGATCAAGAAGTTTGAGAGATTTTTTCAAAGCATGAAATGTTCTAGAAACCAATAATGTCACCTCGTCATATTTTTGCCAAATCAGGGGAAAAACTGGAGTAAGCAGGTCAATTATTACAATATCTGAAATCACAGCACCAGAAACGGAGAAGTAATGCCCTAAAAATGCAATCACAGTCAATTACAAATTCAGAAGACATAATCAAGTTGAATCTGCTACTATACCTGCAATTATGACTAAAAAACATGGGAAATTAGACACGCGAAATGAAGGGCGGTCTTCCTGCTCCTTGCAGAAAAGTAAATAGTATCCACAATTTTCCAAATAAGGTGAAAATCCAGATTTAAAGCAATCAGACCATTTGTATTCAAAATTAGCTTCACAATATTTTAAAGCATGAGATATAGTGCCATCAGTATGAAAATGCGATGTATAGTTGTCAGAACGGCTGCAACTAATTGAAATTGGTTGTATAGAGCTATTGAGATATTTTTCTAACATGTCATTAGCTGCGGATTGACATTCATATTCATTCTCATAAGATTTTGCTATTTCGTAACAGATTTCATAGGTGAATTCATTGTCTTCACGTTCCGGATCTTCTTCACAAAAATCCTTAAATTTACCAAAAATTGAACTAAACAAGATAACAGGTACTGAGCTAGAAGCTTCTGGTGGAAAGTGATTAAGACAAAGAGATCCTTTTCTCTGTCGCTTAAACCATTCTTTAGAATTTCCGAGTATAGATGGTGCTGGTATGTCACCTATCCATTCTATGTAAGATCTCTTAACACCTGGAGAGCAATATTACATTACTTCAGTTTATTTGCGATTTGCTGATAGCTAAAATATTGTACCTTTCACTATGTTAATTATTCTAATTGGATTATCAGTCAAACATTTGTGCGTTTCAACGAAATTGATAAATTTCTTTTTTGGCCAGCTAATATCTATTTTTTTATTGTCAATAACATACTTATGAAAGTCCAGACCACCCCTGAGATCAGCTAATGCGAACTTCAAACGTGCATATAGATGAGCAAGATCATTCCAATCCATAGAACTAATACAAACTTTTAAATCAAGATACTGAAAATATATATGAACTATAAATGAAAATGGCATATTAGTCGATGTAAACAATCATCAAATTTTCAATAAAAGAGGTGAGAAATTTTATTAATAAATTTACCATCAGCTTCAACCACCTGATTTAATGCTTTCGTAGTTGTATATTAAAAATAAATATTTACGGCAAAAGTTAATAAACGCGGAGAAAGTAGTATAGGTTTAAACATTCGAATGCAATCATGGCATTTTACCTTTTTCCTCCTTGATTTTATTAATTAATTTAACAATCTTTTTGGCCGGTCCTCTTTTTAAGCTGTCATCCATGAGTTCATCCACACTCAATGTAAGGAATACTAAACCATTAATTTGTTGCTCACGAAGAACTTTGAAATGTTCATCTTCAAGCATAAAGTTTTGCCTACGTAAAAAATCGATCAATTGCTCTGTATTCCAATCTTCTATTACTTTAATTGCAGGGAGATGAGCTTTTTCTTCAGAAGTAAAAGTAGACATGGTCATTTGTGTATTTGGTTTAACTATTAAGACAGATAATCGTGTCCGTCCAGTTTATTTAATCTGATTCATCATGTGATTCGTGTTACTGATAACTTATGTTACTGATGACGATTGTTTCAGAAAAGGCAATTTGCCACAACAGATCTGTTATTAGGGTGTTTCATGCATGCCTAATTACAAACGTAGTGCAGGTGATCATTAATCAAATTAGGATAGCTGCGTGGCGCGTGATGCCGCGCAGGACCAGTACAATCATGTACAACATGCAAATTCAGACTATTTGCAAGTTATTAATAAAGGGTCACTGGGGTACTCAACTTCACTAGCCCTATCTACTCTTGTCGGTTGCGATGTCGTGACTGAAGTTGGCATCTGCCTGAAGCTGGAACTTCAGGTACCTGAAGTTGGCACCTGCCTAAAACAGCTAACTAATGCATGTAGGATGATCTAATTTCTGGGGCTAATTTAGTCAGGTGCAACTTCAGGCACTTGAAGTTCCTACTTTAGTCAGATGCCAACTTTAGTCACGACAGTTACATATTAATTGGGTATATAATTACCTAATCATGCATTTACTAATTTCTCTTCACAGTTGTGATATTGGCCATTCAGGATTAGTGATGTGCCGCGTACAGTACCAGTCACACGGCTTTACTTATTTGTGCTGTTAATACAAATTCCTAATTTAGTAATAACCAATAAAATCTCTACTATGATCACATGCATTATACGATCCACATTCACGACTGATCATCTCAGAGACCATCAGTAATTTGATGTTCCACATACCGATACACATCAGATTCCAAATATAGTTAGTACAGTATTACCAATCAAAAATAATCAAGTAATCTAAACAACAAAAGAAATAACAATCATTAAAAACTTGGAAAAGTAGTAAAGAAAGCTTTGACATTACTTTTTTTCCCTATATTTTCTGTTGACTTATGTTTTTGTGGCCTTATATTTGCATGACCTTACATTTGTATGGTTTTACATCTGTGTGGTTTTATATTTCTGTGGCTTTATCTTTCTAGTAAAAAAAAATAGTCAAATCCCAGCATATTATATATATATACAAAAATTCCCATGGTTCAATTCCCAGCGTATTATATATACGTACTTTAATTCATTTTCATATAACTGTTTAGAACATGAAATTAAGAAGCAATAAAACGAATAATCTAGACCAGCAAGTTTCTGAACTCAAACAAATTATTGCTAAACAGAAACAGGCTGTTATTTACCTCAAGGAGACAAGTAATATACAGTAATTCCATCTGAGTTATATTTGGTGTAGAAGCTTTTTGATATTAATAAATATATGCTGAATTTATTTTTAGCCAAGTGGAGTCATCAAAAGCATTGTGAGCTTATTGAATAATCCTAATAAGAAAATGATTTTTGTAGGCATAGTTTTATTTATTTTTGATTTATTGATAGATTGATTTGATTGATTTAAATAAATTTTTATTTTATAATTCAAATAGAAAGAAGAATTAGTTATTAAAGGAT